AAATCTAAATAACTAACCCTTGAACAAGAAATATCTAGATAACTAACCCTTTAACTAGAAATATCTAGATAACTAACCCTTGAACTAGAAATATCTAGATTGTTAAAGTGCATACCTCTCATGAGAAGATTAGTTGAAGCTTTTTTTTCACGGTTGTTCATTATATTGAACAGGAAAGCTAAAATATTATAAAATGTTAACAAAATTTTAGATAAAAGCTGTAGAACATTGGTAAAAACTTGCATTGGATAGTTGAAAAAATTAACTGAAAATGCCAATTCTATTCTATCTATTTAAAGCCAAGCAAAATTTTACCTTTAGTGATTGTAAATTCTAATCCTGAAAAAAAATTTTCCGGAAATTGTTTGTCTTTCATCTAGAGACTTATTTGATCCGTTACATTTTTTTTAAAATGTTGTTATCTGTTAATCTGTTGCTACCTGCTATTGATATGTATATTAGAAGTGCAAGCCAAACATCTTCTCTTATACCACCTCGTATACTTTTCCAGTAAGAATCTTTAGTCTAAAATAAGAACAAAAGATTAAAGATCAAATTTAATAAAAAAAAAAATTTCAGTGAAAAAAGCAGAAAATAGCAGTATCTTTCAGATTCATTTAAAATCCACAATTTAGGTAATTTCCTAGTATACGATTTTTGGACCCCCCCACCGCCCCCCCCCTCCTATCAATTTTGTACATGGGTCTGACAGGAAGTGTCTTAACTTAACCTAACCCGTGGCCGCAGCGCTCGGCCCAGAAAGTGTGGCCGCAGCGCTCGGCCTTCTCTTAACCTAACCTAACCCTAAATAACAAAAAAATAAATAATAATAAATTTGCTGAAAAATAAATGGTCATGTACAAAATTGAAAGGAGGGGGGGGGCGGGGGGGGGGTCCAAAAATCGTATACTAGGACAGACCCACAATTTATAACAAGAAAATCCTCGAAAAATTTACTTGTTCGGAGGTAGATCAACAAAAAACAGCTGAAATTATCAATTGAAACATGGGCACAAAGTTACCCAACGGGAGATCTGTTCGGCTAAGCCAAATCCTACTGCTTAGCCGGTGCCACCAGGTGAAAACTGATAAACGATATCCGACTCAAAAGTTTTGGCCTCCGGTTGATTTTAAAATTTTACCTTCGATGTCACTGTTTTCGATATTAGATAAACTGCGTCTTTTCCTATTGGATGCAAAAATTTGAAATCTTGAAGTCTGTCTTTGCTCTCCATAAACCCAAGCATAGCAACATCTATTTCGTTTCTAAATGCAGAATGAAAGAAGAATGTGTTAAGGGTCTAATTTTTTCTTTAAGAAATCATGAAATTTTTATTATTGGATTTTGCAAAAAAAAATTATTTTTGCATATTTGCACATTTTTTTTTGCGAAATCTAAAAGTACAGCAGAAGAGCTTTCCAATGTTGTACCATTTGTCATATTTGGACATCAACCATGGGAAGGGGGGGGGGGTCAAGTATCCTAGGTTTCAAGTACCCCAGCAGGGCTAGGGTTAAATTATATATGTCTAAAGGGACTAAAGGAACAGTAAAAATATAACACTAAAAACAATATGCATAACAGATTTTATGGAATAATTGCTCCTTCAGCAAGAGAGCTAAATAACTTCGCAAGAAAAAAAAAACGAAAGAAGGTTTTTCAAATTTTTTGAAAAGTCGCATATTTATTTTTTCACGAAATTACTCATCGTTTTTGCTTCCTGTCGCAAAAAAATGCGGTATATTGCGGCCAGGCAGTGATTTACCTTTGCAGCATTCCTAGTACACCATTCCATGATCCATTGATCTTCCCTCCCCATTTACCATCAGCTGCCTCCTTGCACTCTACTTTTACACCAAGAAACTAAACAAATATTTTTAAAGGGACCGTTCACTTATCAAGTCATTTCAGGGTAAATAATTGGTACAAGTCTTACTTAAATAGTGTTTATACAATTAGATACCATACCTTTGATAAATTGAACTATAAATCAGCTTTTAGACAAATAAAAAAATAAATTTAGATGAAATCACATTTATCAAGGAATGAACCAAAAAAACTATTTAATAAGATTTTTCTAAATCTACAAGACGACATTTTTTACCTCCTGAAAGATTTGAGAAAAATCTATTGCCATTCCGTTAATTTGTGAACAGTTTCTAATGATAGGTGATTTATATTCTGCAAATATATCATCGTGGGTCAGACCCAGCCTTAGGGTAGTGGTTTCAGGCGAATTCAACAATAGCTGATTATCTAATCAAATTTGCTTGTTAACTTTCAAAACTGAAGATTTAATAAAAAATATATAGTCTTTAAGAAACTATTATATTTTATTTGAGAAACTAGTATATTGTATTTGAGAAACTATTATATTGTATTTGAGAACCAACTATATTGTATATGAAAAAATGTTATTTTTGTATTTGAGAAACTAGTATATTGCATTTGTGAAACTGTTATATTTTATTTGAGAAACTTTTATATTGTATTTGTGAAACTGTTATTTTGTATTTGAGAAACTAGTATATTGTATTTGAGAAACTATTACATTGTATTTGAGAAACTATTATATTGTATTAGAGAAACTATTATATTGTATTTGAAAAACTTTTATATTGTATTTGAGAAACTAGTATATTGCATTTGTGAAACTGTTATATTGTATTTGAGAAACTGTTGTATTGTATTTGAGAAACTAATACATTGTATTTGAGAAACTATTGTATTGTATTTGAGAAACTATTATATTGTATTTGAGAAACTATTATATTGTATATAAGGAACTTTTATATTGTATTTGGGAAACTTTTATATTGTATTTGAGAAACTAGTATATTGTATTTGAAAAACTATTATATTGTATATGAGAAACTGTTATATTGTATTCGAGAAACTATTATATTGTATTTGAGAAACTATTTAATTGTATTTGAGAAACTATTATATTGTATTTGAGAAACTATTATATTGTATTTGAGAAACTATTATATTGTATTTGAGAAACTATTATATTGTATTTGANGCACGTTTTCCTTTCCACAATTATATTGTATTTGAGAAACTGTTATACTGTATTTGAGAAACTGATATATTGTATTTGAGAAACTATTATATTACATTTGAGAAACTGTTATATTGTATTTGAGAAACTATTATATTGTATTTGAAGAACTATTATATTGTATTTGAGAAACTGTTATACTGTATTTGAGAAAATATTATATTGTATTTGAGAAACTGTTATATTGTATTTGAGAAACTATTATATAACATTTGAGAAACTGTTATATTGTATTTGAGAAACTTTTTTATTGTATGTGAGAAACTATTATATTTTATTTTTTTTTACAAGAAAATCTTGACAAGCTAAATTTCCTAGTGTTGCGAAAGCTTGAGCAACTTGTTCATCAGTTGTTGACTTATATCCTGCAGCTCTAAATAAAGTAATTGGTCTGGCAATTTATTTTTCTATCTTTATACTTTTCCAGATTTTTCTTGAAAAATTATACCTTGATATCTGTATTATAAACTAATAGCTGAATGGCCCGGCGTTGCCCATAAAGAAAAAAATTTAAAAAAGTAAGATTTTAAAAAAAAAATTGGAAAAAATGCTCGAATTTTTTAGCCAATAACAAAGCCGCCCCTGAGTATCCACAACAAATATCAGCCCAATCAGTCCAGCCGTTTAGCCGGCTACAGGATATATATATATAGGAATGTCTTGTTTTATTATAAAGATATGCTTTGTTTCGCTAAAACCATCTGCAAAAATAGATCAGACTATATCTATACCTTAAGTTCAGATTATATCTATACCTTAAGATCAGACTATATCTATACCTTGAGATCAGACTATATCTATACCTTGAGTGCAGACTATATCTATACCTTGAGATCAGACTATATCTATACCATAAGTTCAGATTATATCTATACCTTGAGATCTGATATATTATAAACCAGATGGGCAAGGTCCACATGTTTAATAAAACTGAGCAGTTTAAGAGAATGCAAAACCTCGTTTGTTTAACTCAACCATCCTGAGCTAACAAATGTCTACATACAGGTATTGTTCAAGTTTACTTTTTTTCAACCAGAAAATAGCTTTTAAGCATGATCTTCTCATTTTTTCTACCAAAATTTACATTTTTTAAGGAATAATTAAAAGTTTTTTTTTCATGTTACGAAATTAAACTTCTTAGGTAACCTTCATCTACCCAATATTTGACTGGAGGACAAAATCAACATTATTAGAACTTAATCCCCCGCACGTGTCACGTGTCCCAGTATAGATCCAACTGCAAGACTGGGTTTAGTCGCATTGCCTTGGGCATTAATTTGACTGAAGTTTTTCATAGCTTTAGACATGCAAAGTTTAGAATTATTTAGCACTGGTTAACTTTAGTTTTTGAAATATTGGGGAAATTTTTCATCGTTTCTGTAAGAGCTAGCAATGTCTGGTAATTTGGCACGTTTTCCTTTCCACATCCAACCTTCCCCCCCCCTTAAACGTTTCATTCTCAGGGCAAGGAAAGTTAATTTCAATAAATAGCAATTTAAACCAGAGATAACAATAATTTCATATTCCTAATTGTGTTGAACGCAGTTATTAAACGCAATTTAATGATATCCAAATTCTCACCCCAGGAAGGATTGTCACATACTGCAGCTATGTACATGTTCAAAAATAAAAATATCTCTGTTCAGGTGGCTCGGACGAGAAAGTGAGGATAATGTGGCTCGGACGAGAAATTGTTGTGGTTGGCCTTCCTCCCCTCGGTCAGCAAGTGAGAAACGTTGGGCAAGCAAATCCATCTGAATCTCAGGAACAAGAGCAGAGCAGAGGCCGAGTAACATAGAAGAGTAGGAGAGCAGGAAACAGCTCAGCAAAGCAGGAAACAGCTCGCCAGGAAAGAGCTTGCAGTGCCAGCAAAGAGCGATGGAAACTAAGGTTTTCACAGTCATTTCGGGCTACGGATTACTTACGGAAATGATCCAGCAATTTTTTCCATTTCCAAAAAGTTCTGAAAATCCGGAATTCTGGAACAATTTTTTCCAGTAAACCGGAAATTTCCAGATCGTTGATCTGGATTTACGGAACGTCCCGGAATGTTGTTCCGAAAAATTTAGGATTCCGTCGGAATTTTCCGGGAAAAGGTTCCGGAAAAACGTTAAAGTTAAAAAGTTAAACTTTTATAAAAGATAAAACAAGTAAGTATTACTATCTACATAATAATATAATGAATGTGCGCCTGGTTTAGCTGTAGTTGAAGTTATACTAATGTTAATTATCATGCAATATAAATCCTGACTGTCAGTGCCATGTCTCAAAATAATATCAACTACAGAAAAATGGGGAAAGGAAGACGACATGTATAGCACTCCCTAAGTCTATTATATGTTGTTAGGACACAAATAGGTTATAAAATCACTTTAAATTGGTTTGTACACTGTATAGTAGACACACTACGTAATCGTCTCATGTTCATTGAACTATTTAAAGTCATAATTTAAGTCTATAAGTCGTCCTCCTATTCCAGAGTTTTCTGCAGTTCTCACTCTATATATATACTTTGCTCGTCTGTTTGTTTGTCCATTTGTATCCAATAAACGTCAAAACTGACCCAGCCAAAAATTTGTGAGGCAACTCACATGGCTCAAGGGAAGTTTTAAAACTGGTTAAAAGATTGGTGCAGGAAAAAATGTCGAAATTTATTATTTTTAATTCACCAACTCTTATTTATATGGTTCATTTCATCCCATCCTGGTCAAATACGGAGGGGGGAGGGGGGGAGGATAAGCCGATGGCCCTCTTGAAAAATAGAAATAATTTGTCAAATTTTTGGGGAAAGTGAAAACTGTAACTGTAAAATAGTCATGATGAACTATAGTAAACTATTTGTGAATATACAACTATAGAAAAGAATGCGTATTTAATATATGTCAATTAATAAGTTTTAACTTTTAACGTTTTAACATTGCTTTCTATATCTAACATTGTGTTAAAATTTCTGGTTTACGAAATGGAAACTGGAAATTTTACGGTTTACGGTTTCCATTCCGTAAACCAGAAAAATTTCCCTACTCCAAACCCTGATGTTTTACTCCAAACCCTGGTGTTTTACTCCAAATCCTTTTATTTTACTCCAAACCCTGGTATTTTACTCCAAACCCCGGAATTTTACTCCAAACTCTGATGTTTTACTCCAAACTCTGAAATTTTACTCCAAACTCTGGCATTGTACTCCAAACCCTGGTATTTTACTCAAAACCCTGAAGTTTTACTCCAAGTCTTTTTACTTTTCTCTAAACCCTGGTATTTTACTCAAAACCTGAGCCCGCGATTTAAAAGCTTCGGCTCGAGTCTTAATTCCTTAAACGCAGCTNTAGTAATACGTGTTTTACTCCAAATCTTTTTATTTTAATGCAAACCCTGGTATTTTTATCCAAACTCTGATATTTTACTCCAAACCCTGGTATTTTTATCCGAACCCTTGTGTTTTACTCCAAATCTTTTTATTTTAATGCAAACCCTGGTATTTTTATCCAAACTCTGCAGTATTTTACTCCAAACCCTTTACTTTAATCCAAATCCAAGTATTTTACTTTAAACACTTGAATTTCACTTATTATTCCTTCAGCCATCATCGACTACTAAAGACTGAATTGATACGGAATAAATGGCTTTTGCGTCAAACATTTAGTCGTGTTACTGTACACGTGAATAATCAGTCGTTATATTCTATACTGGAAGGTTCTATTGAAACCCTAATGAGCGCTTTTATCAATTTCAAACTTCAATACACAAAATAACAAATAACAAATTCTGTTAGTTGTTAATATTTATACTAGAGTAGTAAAAGAAGTTTTTGAACTTAACTCAAGAGTCAACTCTGTGTACTATGTGAACTTAAAAGGGAAATTAGGTTACAGCACTGCAATAATATATTTTTTTTTTGTTGTGTGTGGGGGGTAGGGCTCCCTTCAAACCCCCAATTCAGAACAGCAAAATAATCTTTTTTATGTTCTTCACTCTTCAGTTTAAGATTTGAAAAGTGTGATAGCTCTGAGTTCTAGGGGGAGGCACTGCCCCCTTGCCTCCCCCCTGTATACGCCCTTTGAGTGCATTTACATTTCTTTCAATATAAACTTGTCAAACGTTATAAAGAAACTGTTGTCACAGCTCCATCTAATTGCTACTTTATGGAAATTTTGGAAGTTCTTTTACAAACTGTGGACTATGGAGCTTAACCCCCCCCCCCCTCCACCCTTCAGGAAGGGACTGTCAAAATTCTAAACAATTTCTAGTGACCTTCAATTGAAAGGGATAATGGTCCGATTCACTATGGTATCATTAAGACCTTTCGTGAATTAGCAATGAAGACGATGTTACGTTTTTACAATTTCAAAAGATCCAAAATCTAGCAATTTCCTTGGATTCTATATCTGACGCAAATGTACGCAAATGACTTAGAACCGGAATTCTAAATTTACATTTTACAGAAAATTTACAGAAAACTTTCAACATATTACCGTTGGAAATTTAGTACTTGACTCTTCAAAGGAAGAGTTAACTTAAATGTTGACGACTCAAAGCATAGAGAATAGAATATATAGAGAGGAATTAAAATATACATAGAGAATAGAATATATAGAGAGGAATTAAAATATACATAGAGAATAGAAAATATAGAGAGGAATTAAAATATACATAGAGAATAGAAAATATAGAGAGGAATTAAAATATACATAGAGAATAGAAAATATAGAGAGGAATTAAAATATACATAGAGAATAGAATATATAGAGAGGAATTAAAATATACATAGAGAATAGAATATATAGAGAGGAATTCAAAGAATCTCTCGGTATGAATTTTTTCAGTCCCTTTCAGCCTGAAAGGAGTTCAAAGTGTATAAATCATGTAAATGTTCACAAATTATATGCAGTAGAGTACATAATACAGTATGTTCCTTAGACTATACATTTCAATTTTGAATTTTTTAAACTGTTAAATAAACTTTATAACGAATTAGGTGAATAAAAACATCATTTGATTTATAGTTATAACGGAAAATCATCATTTGGAAAGTGGAAGGCATAGAGTCTATGTGAAATGATCATTGGTCAATTATGAAACCAGCCTATTTCATAATTTGGTTTTATTTTAACAATAATTTTAGATTTTCTATAAAATGATGTTCCAGGGCCCAACAGGTTATATAGCATAAATATGTGAAGTACACCTGCAGTATGGAAACAGTACAACAAAATGGCCGTTTTACACTTTTTCCATTAAATTCCTCTCTATATATTCTATTCTCTATGACTCAAAGCCGTTTCTAAAATGTCATCTTTTGTCGGTAAACCTCCTCGTACTGTACAACAAATATCGTACTGTACAACAAATATCGTACTGTACAACAAATATCGTACTGTAAAACAAATATCGTATTGTACAACAAATATCGTACTGTACAACAAATATCGTGAGTAAGATATATATATGAGTGCAGTTTACATACAAATACAAAAGCATGAAGGATGAGTGTCTGTAACGTACGGTTTGTTGGTTCGTATTCACACTGATCCAACCAGTTACATTTTGTGCATACAGTGTGCTAAATCTACTGCAAACTTTGTAGCCTAGGCCAGAATCGTCGGAAGCCGATACCTCTAAACGCAATAACTCCTTTTACCTGGTCAGATCATGAAAGAATTTGGGTAATTAAGGAAACAACAAACGGCTGAACCGAATGGGTAAAAAAAGACTGTTTGGTAATTTCCGTTTCCTGTCTAAAATTGCAAGTGTGTTGAAAAAGAAAGATAAGGAACTGCATTTATATTTAAGATAATAATCAATTTACAAATATATAAATATATAAATATAATTAGATTCTAATTATACCAGTTATATACATTGATAATCAGAGAACAATGGAATAGGAAGACGACATTATAGTAATACTAAAGTGAATTTGATGTTACAAAGCAAATAAACTTACTCTTAATAAATCACGAATTTGGTAAAATGGAGTTGTATACAATTGCTGTCTTATATAAATTGTATTTTTTAAAATTATGACTTTGTATTAAAAGTCCTCTTCCTATTTCAGAGTTTTCTGGTTTTGGTTTTCTGAAGAAATATTACAAAAACCTCAGGTGCCATCAGGGAGTAAGGAATAGAGGGGAGATATAACTGACGCGGTTCGCCCTACCATATGAATATACATGCTTTGCAGACGAGTACTCCATTTGTATATGAAATATCCAGAAAAGGTTATTGTATACATGGTAATTGTACATCAGACAAATATTTCTTGTTCAAATGGAGTACTAGTCTGCAAAGCATGCATATTCATATGGTAGGGCGAACCGCGTCAGTTATATCTCTCTTCCATTTCTTACTCCCTGGGTGCCATGGATGATGGAAGTCCCTTCACTAGAAGCTAACCTGTTGATACATTAAGAGTGTCCTAGTAAACATGGGAATAAAGTGACGACTTTGAGATCGTCTTTTTTGATAATTTGCATTGTAATATCTTACACTTACATTAGTTTGATAATTAACATTTTTAAAATTTATTTCTACATTACTTTATAACTTTATTTTACATTTCTCTCTCTGCAGTCACTATCCGCTAAAACCAAAGACTACACAGACTGCTCATACACTCTACCTGGATAGGCTGAGCAGGCCTAAAGTGTCCCGGCACGCCATATTACGGTTCCATGTAATGTTTTTTGACTGACATCTCACGGCCATTTGTTGCATTCAGGGGTTAAGTTTTACAACTTTTTAAGAAATACTCCAATTTTGCATTTCCTATTCAAAGGATCCTTAAATATCCTTGTATACAGATGTCTCCTGTAGGGTTTCCACGAAATGGCTAAATCTTTTGCGCAAATTTTTTTTTGGCGAACTTTTGCGCTATTTTTGCGCTATATTTTTTGCGCAATTTGCGCAAAACCGGAAATATTTTTTGCGAAAGTTGCGCATGAAACGAAATTTTAGTTTTGCGCAATTTTTTTTGCGTGATTTGCGCAAAACCGCAAGTTTTACGCAAAATGTAACTTTTTAGGCGAATTGTCAAAAATTGATATTCTAAGCTTAGAATTAAACAACTGAAGATTTATTCCATACCATAAAAAAAATATTAACATACGAGTATGATAACGATTATTGGTTACTTCCAGTTACAAAACGTTTAAATTAAGGGACCAAAATTAATAAAAAAGAAATTAGAGAGAGTGAAACTTATTTTAATCCTATTAAATAATTTCAAGTAACCCTTAAAAGCTTTGCCTAATCAAGTATGAATTATATTCTTAAATTTTTTAAATCAAATTTCTGAAATCTTTTTAATCTTATATAAAATAATGCAAGAAAGTAACAAATGCCTGAAGAATCCACTTTTAGGAAATATGCATGTCCAAAACTAAAATTGTCGAGAAAATTGTGAGATTTGAACTCTTCTTAACTGTCATTGGTCAATTATGTAAAAGTGACCAAATATAGGAAGACATTCCAAAACAAGATTTTTCCAGAATTGAATTCTAAGAAACACACACCGTCACCAACCGTTTGATTTTTACGAAATTGCGGAATTGCGGATTTGCGCAAAACTCTTGTTGCGGAATTCCGCAAAACTTGAGTTTCGCAAAAGCGGAATAGGGCAATTTTGCGCGAAATTACTTTTGCGAATGATTGCGCAAATTGTTGTTTTTTCGCGCAAAACTGATGCGCAAAGAAAGAAAAAATTTGCTTTTCGTTCCGCAAAAATTGCGCAAAAGTTTTGCGAATGGAAACCCTAGTCTCCTGTCTTGATTGGTCGTGTACAGTACTTGTACAAAAATAGAACATGCTGTGGAAAATATCGCTTATTTTAGGTGTTAATCAATCTATGTGACTCTCTTATCTCTGGCTGAAACCCGCTTTTCCTTCGGTCAGTGTACTGCAAATCAGTGTCCTGCAAATCAGTGTACTGCAAATCAGTGTACTGCAAATCAGTGTACTACAAATCAGTGTCCTGCAAATCAGTGTACTGCAAACTGCAAATCACTTTGGTACACACCGAAAGCTTTATTTCTGGTGTTGTTATATTTGTCTGATATTTTTTTGTGAGGTTTTTTTTACCTCTCTCCCACTGTTCGTTTTGAGATAACGGAGTATTATGCAAGCTTGTAGTCCAACTTTTCAAGTCCTACTTATTCTTGAAAATTTTATAAAGATAATCTAAAAAATCTAAAAAATCAGCAAGTGTTTGTATTTTTGTACTCAACGTAAAAACTGGCAACTTAAAACCACATTTAATGGCTCAAATTGTTAAAAGAATGAAAAAGGAAAATATTAAAACATTTTTAGTATTATAATGTCCAAAAAAGCAATTATGGCCATGGAAGCAAAAAAATAATAGGTCTATTTACAAGAATAAGAAGCACGAAGCGCCTTAAAATCCTAGTAAAAATTATAATAGAAAAGAATTTTCTTTTGAAGTCTGAAATTTCTCTCAGTTATTTCACGTTATTTTCACCCAAAACATTTATCCTTTATTTTCTCAACAATTCTATTTTTACTTTCTTGTAATTTATCTTGGAGAAAAATAAGTTTACTGAAGTAACGTAAACATTTAAATCATAAATTAAACCTAATTGTCGTCTTCTAATTCCACAATGTTATGGGTTCCATTGTATGAAATTCTTTCATACAATGGTCGGCGTTTATATTAATGCAATGAAGACGACTTTGTAAAAGTTTTTTTTTTCAAATTACAAGTTTATAGGTAAACAAAAGAGAAGCTGTTAATCGACAGCTTCAGTAAGCATAAAAATTGAAATCGAAAATGGTCTTCATTGTTTTGATATTTACGAGACGACGACTATATATATTATTATAAATTATTATATTTTTTAATTGGTTCAGCCCAAAGTTTACACGTATATTTTGAAAAAGAAATTTAGATTATGAAAACAATGATGAATGCACAATATTTCTATAAGATTCAAAGATTTTCTTTCTCTTCCAACTCAGTTCTATCGGATATCTCTTCATCATCACTTTTTAGAGAATCCTCCACATCTGCATTAAAGTCTGGGACTTCGGGGATTATACATTCTTTCTTTGTGGATGGTATTTCATTCTGATTAAAGACAGTTTTAAACTGAATGAAAACGAAATATCATTTATCCCTTCATTCTTAGAGTGCCAGATATGGTTCACAAGGGTACCCTTTAAAGGGACAGACCGGCAATGTATGGTGGTTAAACTGAAATTGCAGTATTGTAGAGACATTTTTTAGGATTCATTTGAGACATATAAAACGTTTTAAAGATCTATAATTACTGAGTTTAAGCACAAAGTCGACATTCAAAACCATCAATTTGGGTGGGTACGTTTTGAAAATCGTTTTATTTAATTATTAAATAACGGCGACAAAAAATATTGTAAAAATTCTATAGTAAACTAATTAGATGTTTAGAAACATGTTTCTCAAAGAAATTTGTCAAAATATCAATGTTAGAATCAATTATTCGTTTTCATCATTATATTAAATTCCCTTATTTCTATGAATTTGTTCGCAGATTTCTACAAATTCTTCAAATTTCGTCTTTTCAATAAAAATTCTAAAAAATCTGCAGAAAATCTATGTGAATAATGAGGGACTTTAGGAACTAATAATTGAATAAGATTACTGTAGAATTTTGTTTCCTTTTTTGTCGTCGTTATTTTATGATTTAAAAGAACCGATTCTGAAAACGTATCTACCCAAATTTATGATTTTGAACTTCGTTTTTGCACTCAAACTCAGTAACTATAGATCTTTAAAACGTTTTATATGTCTCAAATGAATCCTAAAAAAATTTGTTCACAACACTACAATCTCAATTTAACTACCATACATTACCGGTCACTCCCTTTAAGAATTTAAATACCTATCTACCCAAATTCATGATTTTGAACTCAGTTCAACCATGCCATACATTGCCCGTTACTCCCTTTAAACCTCTGATGAAAGAAAAGCAAGAGATGTCAACGGGAACAATTTCAAAATCAAAAAGACAACTAAAAAATCACTGGAATTTGATACATTTTTAGATTAAAAAAAATACGCTATCTTCCTCATTCTTATTGAGATAGAAGTTGAAATGGAGAATCTTACATAATACAGTATGTTCCTTAG